CCTCCTCCTCCTCCTCCTCCTCCATGGAGACTGAGAATATTGAACCCTGGCCAAATGCTGTCAAACCTGTTGATGAATTCTAATCCAGCAAGTTCACACTGGAGTCTCCCTTTGCTGGACTTTCCTTTCGGCATTCGGTGGCACTTTGCTTTGAGATTATTCCACATTCTGTCAAGACAGAAATGCTTCTGTGCATCGCTAATAGTTTCAGAGGGCCTTTCTGGAAGGCAAAGTTGGTGATAATTTTGCAAAGTGGGATGATATCCCACATTTGACGATGCTGTTTCCTGCCGCAGGTTTATCCTTCTGTCAACTGCAAAAGCAGCGCATCCTGGTCAGTCGCTACATCAACAGTAGTGCAACGTCCTACATCCCACAATGTCTGGATTCTGGCGATTTTGACCCAATACAGTGTGATGTGAATCTGCAGCAGTGCTGGTGCGTGGACGCTGAAGGGATGGAGATTTACGGCACAAGGCAGAGAGGGAAGCCAATACAATGTAAGTAAGGAGAGCCAGTTTGGTGTAGTGGTTAAGAGCGCGGACTCTAATCTGGGAGAACCGGGTTTGATTCCCCACTCCTCCACATGCAGCTGCTGGGGTCACAAGTTATTTCAGAGCTGTTCTCTCAAGGGCCGTTCTCAAGAGAGCTCTCTCAGCCCCACCTACCTCACAGGGTGTCTGTTGTGGGGAGGGGAGGGGAAGGGAAATTGTAAGCCACTCTGAGACTCCTTTGGGTAGTGGACAGGTATAAATCCAGTCTCCTCCTCCTCCACCTTCGAGACCAGCATATTTGAGGAATCGCCTACTCCCTTACAAACCTAACTGGCCACAATGGTAATCTTCCAAGGCCCCTTTGTGGCGGGCTCTGCCTCCTTTGGGGAGCCATTTTGTGGTGGCACTCATCTCCTTGTGCCAGAATTCCAAAGATTGCCATAGGCTCAAAAAAGTTGGGGACCCCTGGTATAGACCAGGGGTGGCCAAACTGTGGCTCAGGAGCCACGTGCGGGTCTTTCACACCTATTGTGTGGCTCTCAGCAGGGCAGCTGGGGAAGTGAAGGAGAAGCATACTTTTTCTCCCTCCCTCCCTCCCTCCCATCTATTTGCTTTCTTTGTTTCTCCCTCTTTCTCTTTCTTTCCACCTCTTCCCTTCTTTCTTTCCATCTCTCTCTTTCTCTCTCTCTTAGACAAATCAATGTAATTAGCAAACAAATACATATCATTATCAATATCCGTTTTTACCCCTTTTGTTTTTATTTTTGGCAGTCTCATTTAACGTTCATAGAAAGCAAATTTGCATCTTTTAAAAAGTAAAAAACATGAGTGTAATCTCTGTTCATGTCTCGCGGCTCTCAAACATCTGATGTTTATTCTGTGTGGCTCTTACACTGAGCAAGTTCGGGCGCCCCTGGTATAGACGGTGTGAAAGTACCATTGTAGCCAATGTCGTGTGTTTGCATTCCAGGCCCCGGGAGATGCGAGATCCGAGACCGTCGTGTGCTCCATGGCGTCGGGGAAAAGAGTCCGCCGCAGTGCTCAGCAGATGGGGAGTTTCTACCCGTCCAGTGCAAATTTGTCAACAGGACAGACATGATGGTGTTTGATCTCCTTCATCATTTTAACAGGTAGGGGGAGTGTACCTTCACAAACCACTTAGAGGGTCTCAGAAAGCTTTGGCCCGTTCCTTCTCCCATTTCACTGACAAATAAATCTGGGGACATCATTCATGTTTTCATGCTTGTTTTGTGAGTAGAATTGAGACTGGGGTGCTATCAGGGAGTTTGTCCACTCTGACTCGGGTGGAGTAGCCAGAAGATAATACCCAAATCCAACCAAACCTTTAATGGCAGGCCCTGAGCCTGCTTTATAAAGGTAAAGGTTCCCTTGCGGGGTATTAATAATAGTAATAATAATGATGATGATGATGATGATGATGCAGAATAAACCAGGATAGATTACAGCATTGTCAGAATAAGAGGAATAAAAAAGAAAGACTTAATGCAGTTAAAATCTATATATCTAATAGCCAAGGCGTCCCCCGCATGCGGATATCTAAATCCGCACATCGGGGGCACTCTGGGGGCAAAGAGTTTTTCCTGCACACTTGGGGCAATCCCCAGGTCTGCCGAAAAATCTGAAAAGTTTAAAAAACTATACAGGGGATACTTAAATCCCCCGCAAAAGTGAGAGCGTTCCCTGCTAATGCGCAGTGAACACCCTGGGAACTGTCCCGCCGCTGCCGCCAGTGCTGGGGGGGGAGGGAGAAGGCTTGGTGGGCCAGCAGGTCTCGCCACAGGTGCCGCAAGGGGGAGGGAGAAGGCTTGGTGGCTCAGGCCTCGCTGTCGCTGCCGGGGGAGGAGGTTTGGCGGGTCTGGTGGCTGGGAGCTGCGTGGGCTTCACTGTCAGGGCCGGGGGGCGGGGGAGAAGGTTTTGCGCAGGCCTCGCCTTTGGGGCCAGGCAGGGGCAGGGGAGAAGGGGAGCAGGTCACCTGCGGTGACTTCCTCCTCTACATGGAGCTCCTCCCCCCCGCGAGTACTGCAGGTCCCTGCTTCTTGTTCAACTATAACATTGAATCATCACTGTGTCTCATCTTGATGGATCTTTATGGCACACTGAGGAAATGAAACAACCTTCTCAGTTATGCCTGGAAAAACACCATTCAAAGTATATTGGACCTTAATTTGATGAGACGGTCCCATCATATTTTCAAGAATAGGGTCAAGATACTTAAAATGCCCTGCCAACCTAGCAGTTCGAAAGCAAGAAATTTCAAGTAGATAAATAGGGACCACTTCGGTGGGAAGGTAACAGTCAGAGGTCATTTCGGGGGGGATCGCGGGGGAACACAGTTCCCCCGGGTGAGGTGCGGGGGGGGGCATACAACAAAGCCCCGCCCCCTGCTTCCAGCCGCCCCGCTTCCGGCCCTCATTCAGCCAGGAGGAGGCAGGAGAAGAGGGAGGGTAAGTTGCTTCCTCCCCTCCTCTCCCCACCCCTGCCTGGGGCCAGGGAGGGCCTTGGCGGGGCTTCCTCGCACTCCCACCGGGTGTGGCATATGCTAATGAGTTATGCTAATGAGTCCCCCTAGCTCTTTTTCTACGAAACGACCCCTGGTAACAGTGTTCCGTGCACCTTGGTGTTTAGTCATGCCGGCCACATGACCACGGAAATGTCTTTGGACAGCGCTGGCTCTTCGGCTTTGAAATGGAGATGAGCACCGCAATCCTAGAGTCGGATTCGACTGGCTTTCGAGCAAGGGAACCTTTACCTTTACCTTACTTAAAATGAATGTTTGCATAATCCTGATGATGAACACAAGTAGCTGATTTCTTTCCAAGCTATGCTCCAGTCCTCACTAGGAATAAAAAATCCCAGTTTCACCTCTAAAGCCTTGAATGGGGCCTTGAAGGATCGGCTGTGTGCCCAGGCATTGTGTTCATCTTTTTATACCCTCATCTCCAGACATGAATGGGTGGTCATGGACAGCAGGACCTCCTTGGTAGCTGCCCCCATGCTCTGGCATACTTCCTGTCTGCTTGGAACCTTCGCTGGACACTTTTCGGTGCCAGACGAAGAGTTCTAAAAACTTCAGTATGCTTGTCATTATTTTCTAATCCTGTTGCCTTATATTTTAAATGGCTGCTGGGGGATTAGTTGTGCAATCCTAGACAGAATTAAACCCGAAAGAGAATTACATCCTGCTAAATTCATTGAAGGGGCCGTGGCTCAGTAGTAGAGGTTCAATCCCTGGCATCTTCACTGGGAAGTAGCAGGCAGCAGGTGACATGAAAGACCTCAGTCTGAGACCCTGGAGAGCTGCTGCCAGTTTGAGTAGACAAGACGGACTTTAATGGACCAGAGGTCTGATTCAGTATAAGGCAGCTTCATGTGTTCATTGAAGACCCTAGAACACAACTATTTTTGGAACGCTGTGTCTGAGGCAAGTGATGCTCTGTATTCTTGGTGCTTGGGGGCAACACTGGAAGGGCTTCTGGAGTTCTGGCCCCACTGGTGGACCTCCTGGTGGCCCCTGGGTTCTGGCCACTGTGTGAAAGACTGTTGGACTGGATGGGCCACTGGCCTGACCCAACATGGCTTCTCTTACGTTCTTTCGGGTGCAGCACTGCTCAGGAATGCAGCATTAATTTGATTTCGGCTGATGTTTTGTGCAGTAGATTTTGTAGCCTTGCCAGTTTGTTGCGGAGGATTTTGATGTTTTATTGACTGTGCAGTCCTCATGGGCTTTGAGTGGGGAGGCGGTATCTATTTGTTTACTGCATTTACAGTCTGATTTTGTTGCTGAGATTCCGAACGGAGGACTCAGAGCAGGTCGATAACAGTCCGTACAAAGAGACACCTAACAAGCACCGCCTAGGTCAATACAATCGATATGAGGAGTCACGAACAAGTAATCTAGTATTCCTTTATGTATGTATTTATGTATTTATTTATTCTAAGGCAATTTATTCGCCACCTTTCTTCCGCAGAGAACTCAACGGGGCATGCCATGTAAATAGAATATAAAGCGTAACAATGCATACAACGCAGACGAGGCCATGAATTAAAATCGTTAGGACTAGGGTTACCGAAATCTGAATGAGCCTAGCATATTAGGCATGATACAGCATGTGGATACAATGAAGACAATTGGTATCACGTTAGCAGAAAAGCAGACTGATGATACGTCCTATAGGCCACGGTATAATTCAGTTTCCCTGGAGGAAATGGCGGCTTTGGAGGGTGGACTCTGGTATTATGAGCCAGTTTAGTGTAGTGGTTAAATGCGCGGACTCTAATCTGGGAGAACCGGGCTTGATTCCTCCACTTGCACCTGGCTGGATGACCTTGGGCATAACTTTTTTTAACTGTCTCAATAACTTTCTTTAATTTTTATTCAGAGTTATTTGTGTTAAATGTAGGTCAAGTATTGATCCAGGCTGATCTTGCGCAATTTTTAAAACTTCGCTCTTGCTCATTAGTGAGACCATCAGTGAGACCAAGTGGGGCTGGGGATCTACCTCTGACCCCTCCATCTACCTGTTGGACATACCTGCCTTAGAGAACAAGAAGATTTTCGGGGTACTGGCTTTTGAGAGTCAAAACTCCCTCCGCTAGAGAGCTGATATTTGACATCTGAGCAAGGGCGGTTTGACTCTCGAAAGCTCATACCCCTCCCAAATCTTGCTGGACTCTAAGGCGTTACTGGGTTCGAATCTAGTCCATCAACTGCAAACCCACATGGCTGACCCTCTGAAACTCTCTCCAGAGCAGACGAGTTATCCAGAAGACCTGGAATTGGTCCGCTGCTGCTGTCTCAGTCACCTTTCCCAGAAAGTACAAATTCAAGAGATGACAAGAACTGGCCTCGTTTTCCTGTAGTGGTGTTCTTTTTGAATTAGGGGTACTGGCTTTTGAGAGTCAAAACTCCCTCCGCTAGAGAGCTGATATTTGACATCTGAGCAAGGGCGGTTTGACTCTCGAAAGCTCATACCCCTCCCAAATCTTGCTGGACTCTAAGGCGTTACTGGGTTCGAATCTAGTCCATCAACTGCAAACCCACATAGAATTTTTGCTCACAAGACTCCACAGCTTAGAGGGAGCACTGAGTGGGATATATAGGTTTTCAGGTAAATCAGAAGGTTAGCAGTGACTTGTGAAATCTCTCTTTGAGGTGGTGGTAGATGGCAATGGATAGCACAAGCCTAGGGCACTGAAGAACCACAGATAGCTGTCTCTCTAAACCCCCCCAAAAGTATCCGGCCAAATTCAGTATTCCATTCCAAGCCTCGCAAACTGGTACCGATATCCAGAGCTGTGTGAAGTACTGATTTATGCCACTAGAGGGCAGTGAAGTATTAATGCCACAATATTTGGTTGATTGATTCGTGTCTGTCTCATGAAAACTTACGCTGGAAGAAATGTTTTCAGGTGCTGCTGGGTAATGTTTCGTTGGATGAAAGTTATTTCTGCTATCAGTGGGATTGCAATTCAAACTGATAAACACCCCCCCCCCCCAAAAAAAAAAAGTATTATTGCACTTCCCAGTTCTGGCTAGCTCAAGTAATGCCATATCATAATGCCTCTGAATAAAGCTATGTTGCAGCCTCATTTGAAATATTGTGTGCAGCAAGGATATGATAGCATTGGGAAAAGTGCAGAAAAGGGCCCCTAGAATGAATAAGTGGATGGAACACCTTCCCGATGAAGAAAGGTTAAAGGGCTTTTTTGCTTGGATAAATGACAATTGAGGGGTGACGTGATCGAGGTTTGCAGAACTATGCATGGAATAGAGAAGGTACAGAAAGAAGTACTTTTCTCCCTTTCACACAATACAAGAACTCCGTGGGCGCTCAATGAAATTAATGAGCAGTAGGCTTAGAACAAATGAAAGGAAGTAGGGGGCCAGTTTGGTGTAGCGGTTAAGAGCATGGACTCTAATCTGGGAGAACTGGGTTTGATTCCCCACTCCTCCACTTGATGACCTTGGGCAAGCCATAGTTCTGATAAGAACTGTACTTGAAAAAGAGCAGTTTCTGTCAGAGCTCTCTCAGCCCCACCTACCTCATAGGGTGTCTGTTGTGGGGAGGGGAAGGGAAAGGAGTTTGTAAGCCACTCTGAGACACCTTTG